ACTATTATATGTCTAGGTGTAGATTTTTTTTGATCATGGCTAGTTGGAGTTCTATATGCCTCACTTATCTGTATGTCCAATTCTCTACCTCTGTCTGAGAAGTTTTCTACTATTACTTCTGTGAACAGTTTTTTATGTCAAATGTACTTTCCCCTGTTTTTTCGTGAACTCCTATCAGTCTTATGTTATTCTTCTTTATATCATCTAGCAGCTGCTGGATTGATTTCTCATGGTCCCTTACTGTTTTTAAAAAATCTCTGTTTTCATGGTCCTTCACCTCAATCCTGTCTTCTATATCTGATATTCTCTCTTCACACTCCCTTAATCTGCTGTGCATACTTTCAATGGAATTTTTAATCTCCTGGATATCTGTTTGAATCTCTTTCATGGTTTCCATTTCTTTCTTATGCTGGGCATTCATAGCTTCCAGCCTGTTTCTGAATTCATCTATTTTTTTATGTTTTTCTGTTCTAGAGCCTCTAATCATGTCTTTCACTCTGCTCACCATCTCTGTAGTTATCTGGAAAATTATTTCTGTTTTGAATTTTTCTAGAGCCTCATTCATCTGTTTTGTTACTTCCTGTACTATCAATTCAGGGTATCCAGGTGGTTCCTTAACAGACTTTTCCACATTGTTTCCCCAGAATTTGCCTTTGGTAGGGTGGAAGCCTGAGTTTGTGCCTTGCTTAAATGCCGTCTCATTTTTGTTTTTGTTACTGTTCTTGTTTTAATTCCTGGGTTAATACTTCAAAATTGCTTATTGTAAGTATCTTTGTTGCTTGTATTTAGAATCCTTATGGAATGATTGCTTCTCAGAGGTGTCTTTCAGATATAGCTGGTCTTTAAGTTTTGAGTCTCTAATGACTCTGAGGCTATCTCATTTTCACTATACTAGGAAGGACAATTGATTAGATCAATTACAACACCTTAGCCCAAGTGATACTATCAGCAACACCACAGCATCAAGTACATCTTAGGAAATGACATTTTGTGGTAGTTATTAATCTATCACATTTAACTGTGTGAATTAAATCAAAATCAAGGACCAACCCAACATATGTTCATAGTGAATATACTCTTCAATATAGCAACTTTACCCTTCAGGTTGGGGAGTTAGAAGGAGTCGGGGAGGGAGGGATAGATAAGTAGAAGGATAGGGTAATGTTCGCAGTGAGGCCAGAAGACACAGGCAAGAGAAGGAAAAAGAGAAGAAAAGAAAAACAAAGAAGAAATGCAAATTAGGGCCAGATCAGTAAGAAAAAGGGAGATGAAGAACAATGTGGGACAGCAAGAGAGCGAATGAGAGACAGAAAGAAAAGAGAAAAGAAAGACCAAAAGAAGAGAAACATAAAAATTTGAAAAGAGTAGAAAAAAAAGACTAAAAATAAGAGCAAAAATTAATAATAATTTGAAAATAACAAATGAAAAATAAAAATGAAGGGCCTCCTTCAGGGTATGTCACTGCTGTCACAATAGACAATGTGTGCAGCAGTTTGCAGATGTAAGTCAATGAGTCTCAGCAAGCCAGTCACAGACCCGTGAGATTCAGGCAGATTTCTGGCTGCAAGTCCCAAGTTGAGCTCCCTGTCCTCCTGTAGGGTTGAACTCTGCAGGGCTCTACTGCAGGTTCCAGCTGCCCTTCCCCTGTAGATAGTCCAGGTTCCGGTGGGAGGTGATGATCCCTCCAACTTACCAAGTAAGGTGGTCTGATGTGCCTTTATTGCAGAGATTCTCTTCACTTTTCCAGAGGGCTTCATTTTTCATCAAGGAGTCTGAGAGAGGCCCTCTATCTGTTGTTCACTTCTGCTCTATTTTCTGGTGCTCAGGACAATGGCCTTTATGCCCCCCTGTGCCTTTGTAGTGTGGAACCAGGTAGGGGCACAGCCAGGAGGCCAGAGGTGGGGTGGGCTGCAGGTGCCCGCATGGCTTAGTTGGTCACTGTGGGTGTGGCAAGGGTTTCTCACAGTCCTGTCCGGTTACTTATCTATTTTCTATGTACTCGAAGAACTTCAACTTACTAGTTGGCTAAAATAGTGACCACACTTCTGTGGTGGAAGATGAGGATCACAGATTTGCTTTCATTTCCAAGTTTTCGGCTCTCATTGTCCCCTGCAAAGCACTTGTAGACTAGGATTGCTGCCCCTCAGGAAGACAAACATACTAATGTTGCCTCCTAATTCCAGTTCCCCTGGTTTCTAGGTAGAGACCATTGGAGATGCCTACATGGTGGCTTCAGGACTCCCAAAGAGGAATGCTAGTAGGCATGCAGCTGAGATTGCAAACATGTCCCTGGATATCCTGAGCTCTGTGGGCACCTTCAAGATGCGGCATATGCCAGAGGTGCCAGTCCGAATTCAAATGGGCCTGCACTCAGGTAAGAATACCCATTTAAAGCAAGATAAAATATTCCTATGTATGTGAAGGAAGACTATAAAAGGAAGGAAGAAGTGATATCTCTCCTCTGATTCTTGGCAGCTGGATTAGCACGGGTCTAGGGCTGCATAATTCCCTTATGCCTGCTCAAGTTTACACTCTTCCTAGCACCTGCTCCACCAGAGTGGGCAGCAGTCCATGTTCTAGGTCCCAAATGCTTTCAGCCTACCCTTCTAAGTTAGAACCAATATTTCTATGTTTGATTATGTTATAAGATCACCAGGTATATGCTGTATTTAGTCCAATTAAATTAATCAATTAATTAACATCTCAACTCTCGAAATATTTTTTCCCACACTCATCCCCTCTTGCTTGAATAAATTCAAGCTCTCCCCCTTGATTGCATCTTTCCCATTTAACTTCACAATTCACAGGTATCTTGACAGACGTCTCACTTGACATCACAGACATGGTCCCTACTAGCCCTTCTTGCGGGGCTCTACATACCCCACCTCTTTCTCTTTGCTTTGATTTTCTAGGCTCCCTTTCTTCACTCATTCCAACCAAACTTTTTAAAACAATGAATACCACTCACTATGCTATAGTGAACATACACTCCACTCCCTCTTTAGTCTCTTTGCAATCCGGCTTCAGTCCTCATTGCTTTCCCCAGTCCTTGTCTGCTCTTACCTCTTTGTAACTGGGTATTCATGACAATCCTCCCTAAAACTTCCCTTCCCAGTCTTCAAATGCTGCTTCTCTGCTGCAATTTTTGGTTCTTTCAAGTCTTCCTGTTATCTACCATTTTCTGCAGAGCTTTCAGCATGATGATCCCCTTGCTTTCTATACATCCTTACCTCTAATTTATTTTTTTTAATTTTAATTTTATTTTTTTGGTACCAGGGATTGAACTCAGGACCTTGCACTTGCAAAGCAGGCATGGTGCCACAGAATGACATCCCCAGCCCAACCTCTAATTTGCTTTTTTAACTGGACTTCACCCAGGGAGCTAGGATTTCATTTTCTTTTTTTAAAAAATTAATTTTATTGGTACATTTTAGGTATACAATATAATGACATTCATCATTGGAGATTTGTACCTTTACAGAATATATCTTAATTCTTATTTTTCCCCATTCCCCTGCCCTCCTTTCAACCCCTTCACTCCTCTCTATTTACAAAGTCTTTGTAAATAGGTTTTCATTTTCTACTACCACATTCTGGCTTTTACTTTCTAGCACTGTCTTATAATTCCTTTTGTCACTATCTGTCCCTTAAATATTGGTATTCCCCAGGATCTTGTCTTTATCCACTATTTTATGCCCCATGTACCCTTCTGGGTAATCTCATTCTTGTGTACCATTTAACTACCATTTGTATGTTGATGGTCCTTAACTCCACAGCTTCAGTCTTAACTTTAGTCTTGTGCATCAAACTTTCTGCTAATATTTCCATCTGAACTTTCTACATGGTCCTCAGACTCAATATATCCAAAACAGAATTACTTTTTCCCTGTACAATCTTCCTTCTCAGGAAACTGAATTATTTATTGCAGTTGGTGTTACCACTATTGACTCAATTATCCCATTTAGTCTTCAGCGTCATTCTTAAGTCCTCTCTCTCTCTCTCTGGCTTTCAACTTTCAACTAATTACTAAGTCTTGAACATTTTACCTTTTTGAACATTTCTAGAATCTGTCTTGTTTCTTTTTCACTTTCACTACCCAGACCACCAGAATCCCTGGCCTGGATCACTTCAATAGCATCATTTTATTTCCATCCTTGGGCTATTTCTATCCATGCTTCTCAGTGCAATCTGTCTCTGTCTCTGTCTCTGTCTCTGTCTCTCTCTCTCTCCTCTCTTCTCCTTCCTTATTTTCCTCTCTGTTTTAGTCTGTTCTTCCATTAGACTTTGCAGCAAACCGTATCTTATTTTATTTTGTATCTTAAGTGCTTATTACATAGCAGATGTTCAGTATTTTTCATTCAGAGAAAATCCCTCATCTTTCATTCATGCTCCAGTTTGAGAACTCCAACACTCCTTCAGCACACCTCTGCTTGAATGATTCACAATTATTTCAAATTTAACATGTTAAAAATTTCAAGCCATTGTGTTTGACAAATCAGCATAAACTTCAAAGCTGATAATAATTTTTCTTATGGTAATCAATCAAAGAGCCAGCAAGTCTGTTGGTCCTCCTGTCTGTCATTTATTAGCCCCTTTTGGCAACACATTTCCCAGAATTACCTCCTTTCTAAAGCCTTGTGTTTGGATTATTACAAAAACCATTTAACAAGTTTGTCTAATTTTATTTTTCCCTTTTCTATAATTCTATACACCAACATTAGAAGAAAAGAAATTTTTATCATTTAACTCCCTACTCAAATTTATCTATTAGTTAACCATCCTCCATGTTGTACAATCAACGTAATCCAACATTATATCCAGTTTCTCCCCAGCTGCCTAAACTGGTATAGACTGCTTCCTTTAAGAGCTTCCCAAAACTCTGTGCATGCTAATCCCAAACACAAATCTTTAACTTATGTGCATTTTTGCCAATTGAAATCCTACTCACCCATCAAGACCCAAATGAAATCCTATCTTCTTTAATGGACCCTTTTTGACTGAGTCGAGTACTTATAAATACCTCTTCCCATTTTCTAGACTATTATAGGACTTCTGTCTGTACTATTTATCTTTTCTTGACTATACTTTGTCTTGTGTTGCTGCTTATTTGCTTCCTATTTGGTAGTCTCTTCTCTTCAATTATATTTTAAACTCCTGGAGAACTGAGACCATAGATTACATTTGCTCCCCTTGGTACCTAGCTCAGTGCTTTATGTTTGCTTTGCAATGACAAAGAAGTGAATTAAAATGAGAAATATGCATGGTAGTTATTTTTATTCTCATAAGAAAGAATGTTTTGAAGCAAAACAATTACTTTCTTTAACTGAACAAACAGTAAAAATATGCTAAAAAATTTAAACATAGAAACAGGAGAGACTAGAAAAGAGAAGGTGGAGGACTTTTTAGATATTGCTAAAGTGAATTTTCAGCATGGCTGTTGACTTTTTTTCAATTGCCCTGAACCCTTAAACCAGCCATATTAAAATTTAAGAACAAAAATCATTCCAAGAGCAAATAGAAAAATTCTTGGATTATCTATGTATACTGCTCTTCCACATTGCTAACACAGATAATTGAAAGTCAGCACTACTTGTTTTCAGATTTTCCAATTATTTTATCAGTAATTCTTGATAGGCACAGTGTGGTACACAGGGAGATCTATGAGAATATTTTTTCCAACCATAAGGCACATGAGTCTCATTTTTCCTTGAAAAAAACATGTTTGGATCCTGAGTCCCTGCCCATGCTTTTCTGGTTTGATTTGATGCTTACTTGTCCTTGTTGACAGAGAAAAGCAACTTAGGTATAAGTGTTACTTGGAACTGAGATATGAATCAGGAAAGCAGTCATATCTGCATCTTTATAAATTTACTTTCTCTTAGAGCAAATAGTTTATTATTCAATTGTGAGTTTACCTTCCTATTTCCAGAAATATTTGATGGCAACTTTTATTTTTTTACACAGCTACATTCTTTCCCTTTGCAGTTCTCTTCTATTATTGTTGAGTGCATATCTGTTGACTGTAATTCCAACTTCCTGCTACTCTATAGGGCCAGTTGTTGCTGGAGTGGTGGGCCTCACTATGCCCAGATACTGCTTGTTTGGAGATACTGTGAACACAGCTTCTTGGATGAAATCAGTGGGGTTACATGAGTACCTGCAGATGGATGAAATGGTACCATCCAAATATTGGGAAAGTGATTCTTCTTTAAGAGAGGAGGAAGAGAGTGAAGCAGTTTATGTTTTAATGTTTTAAAGCAAAATAAAAGATAATCTGAAAAGATTAAAATTTATCATACATTTTCCTGGTGTCTAATAGCAAACCAGTAGGGGGTGATGTTGGACTGAACATGTACCTTTCTTGTTAGAGAACTGAAGCTGTAGTTAGTGACACTGAAACAGGCAGTCAATTTGATCAAAAGAACTTTAAAAAGTCTTTTGGGTAAAGGAAAGAATTGACCAACCTGGTATGTGTAGGGGAGTCATGTTGAGAAAAGAACTAGGTAAGAGACTGACATTTTCCATTTTTCAACTAGTTTGTGAAAACACACTTATACCAATTGCCTCCTGGCTGGCGGCTGTTTGCTGTTCCAGTCATCTTTTTGAATTAGATAGGACCCCCAGGAATTCTGGCTTCATCAAAGAGTCCTCTAGAATTTAGCTAGCAATAATCCCTCAGCCTAAGGTGTTTGGAATTCTGCAATAATTAATTCCAACTTCCCTGCATATAAAACCCTTAGCTTCTTTCCAAACAGGGATAGTATCAAAGATACCATGTCTTTCTCCCTTCTTTGAGAATAAAACTATAGAAACAGCTGTGCGATTTTTCTGTTGGTGGCAAGATGCTCTCTCAACCCTTTCTTGGTGATTTACTGCCACTATTGAGATAATGTTTTATAATGTGCTTTTTACCTATATCATGGTTGAGCAAAGCAATTTTCCATGCTATTATAAGAAAATCTAGTGAATGACATTAAATTCTATATATAGTTTTACAGATTTTGTTTTCAAAAGAAAGAAGCCCCTTAAGTTCCTAGCAGTGCTGGCTCTGGCAGCTACTAGGCAAGACAAGCTCTTTCCCAAATTCAGCAATATGCTCAAACTAGTCAGTGATGATGGGGTGGCCTATATCACAGTGGATGGTACCCTGTCTGAGCCCACTCTCCATCACTCGTGTGCAGAAACTGGTTTACACAATGGGTCCAGTCTTATTTAATTTCTCTCATGCAACCATGATTATGGAGGCAGTAAGGAACTTAGAAGCTATTGTCAGAATATATTTTTTTGACATTTTGGAAAGTGTTTAAACTCCATAGATATGGCAGAGACCATGAAAATAGTCATTCAGAAACTCCTGCACAAATATAACTTTGTATATGACTGCTCTTGAAATGCAACCCAAGATGAAGTGAAATTGATCATGGAACCACAATGCAGGTTTGGCACCATACTCTGGACTGATGTAAGCTTGTAGAAGGCTGAAGTCATATTCATGTCTGCACTAGGGAAAGCCATACATTTCACATTGGAAATATTTGAATCAAGAACAGAAATTGAATTTTGAGATTTAAACAGCATTTTGTTCAGTGATCAGGTAAGAGGAAGGAAATGGAGTGAATCACTCACAGCAGGGATTTATTAAGCACTAGCTATGCAAGGAAAGCATTGTGAAGCATACAAAGAAGCATATATGTGTGATATTTTCACTACAAGAGCTGGTTATTGTGCTTTTCTAAGAGCTAATGACTGTGAACCAAATATGACATTAAGCTCCACAACTGACTGAAGATCTCTAAAGAGGTAGCATCTAACCTCATGTTGGATATGAGTCTAGGATGTGCAATATGTCTATTAACAAAAAATCAATTTAACCAGTATCTTCTTTATGTCCAGTTGAATCTTCTAAGATTTTGGAATGAAAGTGACTAGTGACCTAGCCCTGGAGTAATTCTCCTCATCATATAGTTGGATAGTGGTTAGAATCAGCAATCTCTCTTTCCACACCAGCAGGATCACCCTACTGAAAAGCTACCTGAAGATGCTGGTGTGTTGGCACACATTGGATTGGCAAGGGATATACTGGATGGACATGTGGCTTTTAGGAATAGGAAAACCTTTTTGGGCTTTGGGTGGCCATAAGACAATAAGAAAGACTCAAACAAGAGTATAGTAGTGAGTGAGCTATTCAGAGAAGAAAATAATATACACAGTAAAATTGTGAATATACATAGTAAAAATTGCTTGCAGACTGGGTATGTTGGTATATATCCATAATGCCAGCACCCTGGGAGGCTGGAGCAGGAGAACTGCAAGTTCCAAACTAGCCTGGCCAATTTAGTTACATAGTGAGATCCTGTCTCAAAATACAAAAACAAAAAAGGCTGTATTTGTAGCTCACTGCCAAGGCCCCGTGTTCAGTCTCCAGTACTGCACAACAAAATAAAACAAAACAATTTTGCAGTTTGCAACCATGCCTTCCTACTCAAATTGTAATCTGCTTCTAAAAACATGTTTTTCTTTCAAGTGTGTGTGTGAGACAAATCTTAGACTTTTATTTAAGACTTAACCTGAACAAGGTGTCACTTCAAAGAGTGACAGTTTTTAGGAAGGTCAAAACCTTGCCTCAATTAACAAGTGATTGTTCTTCATTACAGGATTACACTTAGGTTCTAAACAAATTTTCAAAGTTGTAGTTTCCCATGTAAAGCACTTACTCTATGTTGGTTGGAAAAGAATACATTCATGTGTGTATACAACTAGAGGAACCCACTCAAAGGACAGCAATGAATGTCTAGTCTTCACAAAATGTTTGTGGACGTAGGTCTTGAGATTTTTCACATTAATGTTTTATTTTAAGTACAGCACTATTGAGAGATAGTTTTAAGGATATATATGGAAAAGACAACCTTTTGCCACTTAAATAGGATTATATAAAGCTTGGGAATTCAGCCAAGAGAAGCTGCTGAAGCCAGACTTCCCTTAGAGAAGATCACATTTCAGCTGACAGCACAATGGTGGTTGCTGGTTTCTCCATCTCAACTTTCAAGTTATATTAACGCCTTTCTATTGCATGCCCTTTCATCTGAGATAGTGTCTAGGAGGCTGATAGGTGCTACAGGTAGCGCCTTATTTGAACCTAGTGAGAAGGCCGTCACTCCCCCTTCTCCTCCTGTGAAACCATAACTATGGCTTACTCTCTCTCAGGATTTAGCTTAGGGTCTAGTAAACTTTGAATTTGGGGCATCTGTTATATTGATAATTCCTCCATGATTTTAGCAATAACAATGAGTTAAAGTTATATCTTTCCTTCTTTTACAGCTTATCACATTCATGTCAGTCTTAGCCCTGTTACAATTCTTCGAACTCTGAGTGAGGGCTATGAAGTAGAGCTTTGAGGCAGAATAGAGCTCAAGGTATAATATCCTTTTGCTTTTGCAAAAAAGTCCTTGGACATACCTCCTAGGGAGGTCATGGTCTGTGGAAAGAATTTACCTGGGAATCTGAGATTCATAGCAATAATTTATATAGAATCTCCAGCTTTATTCGGGCTTCCAAAAAGATTGGTGCTTTGTGCCTCAGTCTTTTACTCTTTAAAATATAGCTTAAATGGGGAGGATCATTGAGACACATTATGCTTTTTCTCAGACTCTAAGTTGTATCTTTCTTTCCTAAAGCACTACCTGGAATTTGGCTTTACAGTGAGCTGAGGTATTATTTTTGTTATCTAACTCTGCTTTTGTTCATCTTTGGCAGTGCTGGACATTGTTCAATAAGCCACAGTACTGGTGAGTTTTGGTTTCTGTTTGCCTGCTCAGTGGTCGTTCTTTCTGACTTATCAGTCATATTATTGGTCTGCTGTTTACGGAGAAACTTTAAGTCTTTCTCCAAGGACAAGGAGGAAGAAAGTCAAATTCCACGAAAACCAGACATTTTGTAGCACCTTTTCTCTCTGTTGGGGAAATTACTTGACCTGAGAATCAAGATTAGATTAATTTTCCTTTTTTTTTTTTTTTTTTTTTTTACTATTTTCAAAGGATTCTTCTCATCTTCTTTTGCATGATTTCAGAACCACTGGCTGAAGAAGCCCTGAGGATCTGAAGATATAACTTCTAGGTGTAAGAAACCCCCGAGGATTTGATAATATAACTTCTTCATTTTCATATAAAGAATCAAGGCCCAGAGAAGTGAAGCAATTTGAGCAGAGTTACACAGTCAGTTGATAGCAGAATCAGACCAAAACTCAGGAAGCCTAACTTGATTCCGTGACACCATACTGCATTGGTTGCCTTAGCATTTATCCTTGGACAAAACCAAAGAAATAAAATTGTCCAAGGCTTTTGTGATGCCTCCATACAGTCTGGTTTTTCTCAGCAGAAGAAAAGAAAGGCAACTTGGTTTCCCTGAAGCACTCTATATTGCTGGACACAGAATTTTCATTTAAAAGCTAGAGGTGCCACTTTTTAAACAGGAAAAGAAAAGATATAAATTCTCGTCAAGAGCACTTGTATCTTTAGAAATTTCAAGTACAAAAGTAAAACTTACTTTAATAGGGCCTTTTTCATTTTCATGTTTTCACCCACTCCAGGATATTTGAGGACATTCAACAAGTTGGGAAGAAAGTCTTTTCATAATGCAATTTTGGGTCTTGGTTATTAGGGTTGCAGAGGCCTCATAGGGAAGAGAGACTGAAAGGAAGATACTGAGAGAGAAGAGGAGAGGAGGGCACCAGAAGAAGGGACAATGAGAAAAAATAAGAGAAGAGGAAGACTCAAAGAAGAAGAGGAAAATATCTTTTTGTTTCTCCACCTTCCATCTCCCCACCAGAGGGAGGAATCACACATTGCATAGTAGTGGTTGGGGGACAGAGATCCTAGTCTACTGGCCACATGATGTATATCCCCAATAAATATCACCAGCACACTTCAGACATTCTGATTCAATATTCCCATTTTTCACCCATTCTGTGCTGCTGGAAGCAAGAGTTATCCCAATACATGGGGTAGAAAAACAGCACATTTGATGGCTAGTCTGGTATGATTTCGAAGTCGATAATTAGAAACATTTTTTCCTTCTAGCTGGCTGCTGCTTGAAATTACTCACCTTTAATTGAATAATTTTTCAAGCCTCTTTTCTTGGGCTCAATCTTTGGATCCAGTAACAAACTTCTTCCCCCACCTCATCTTCTTCACTGGCGTAATGACACTTTATAACTTACTTCTCTTAAGAATTAAATATGTGGATTGGATTGGGTGAAAGAAGAGAACATTAGGTACCCAAAGTAACTGAATGAGAAGGGAACATAAAGAAAGAGACCAAAATGAGGTAGTTTAGGCTCTCTGGGGAAGGAATCAGTTAGAGATGAGAAAATTGGCTCTGCTGGGGAGTTGTCCTACTGCCCATGTGAAGCCCCTCTGGTACTGTATTGGCAATAAATTGTCAGTGGCTCACTGGCCAATTCTGCTTTATAAATATCTTTCTTCTGATGAAATAATGGTAAGTCATTTTATTACCTCTTCTCTTACCTGAGTCCTTTTTCAAGGACTGTTTTCATGACAAATTTGGAGCTCCTTGCTGAGATTTTTTTTTGTATATATGTAGGCTAATCAATTATACTGTCTAAGGACTTGTAGGTAGATTTACGTTCTGGAAATACTTTCCCAAATTGTTCTCAATCAGTTTATGTTGTTATCGATAGAGGTGGACACTTTCTGATTTTGTCTCTGAATTCTGGAGTTAAACAGTATTTGACTCTTAGGTCCATAACAATTAGTACAGTTTTGTGATTTTTTTTCTTCCCTCAATCTATTCTACCCATACCCTTAATCCTACACACACACACACACACACACACACACACACACACACACACACACACGCAGTGGAGCTAAGAAATACAGAGGTTGTATTAACAGAATCATGAAGGCTTGGTCTCGAATTCTTGTTTCATTAATGACTCAGCATGTGACATTGGACAAATAACTTCATCATCTCTGAGCTTCTGTCTACCTTGATTCCTTTTTGACTTATGATTATCAGGAAGCTCATTAAAATCTCCAACAGTTCTTCTTGGCCTCTAGACTTGTCCTTGACTCTAGTGTGTTGGAGAAGCTATGTAGTGTAGAGGGAAGAACATTTAAAGTTTCCAGTCTAGTGTACTTGGGTTCAAGTCCCAGCTATTCCTGTTTATACAAGCCATTTAATTTCCATGAACCTCAGTGTTTCCACTTGAAGCATGAGATTAATAATAAAACTACATTCTAGGGTTTTTGTGAAAATTGAATAAGACAAGAGGTGCCCAATTTTCTTAAAAATATCATGCTTGTCAAGTGTGGTGACTCACAAGTTTGAGCATGGGCAATTTGTAACTTAGTGAGACTCTGTCTCAAGGTACAAAACAAAAAGGTCTGGGGATATATGTAGCTCAATGTCAAGGCCCTTGGTTTAATTCATTGCACTACCAAAGAATAATTTCATGCCAAAGCAAGATGCTATTATTTGGAGAGATTTCTGAGACTTCCCAGAAATTCATAAGTGGTCATGAAGTTTGCTTTAGGCTTTGTTGTTACCATACTCATTTCCCCTCTCTTCTTGTCTTTTGCAGAATTATGGAAGTGGGGTGGGTAAACAAAGAGCTAAAATTCTGGATGATCTCCAAAGCCGCATAAAGCCTCTGGAGCTCCCCTGAATACTCTTTGATTTGGAAGCTTGTCTGAGCCTATAACACTCTCATCCTCTTTTACAACCATTTGTTTTGGCATCCTAGTATGTCACAGGACCCACCCAAATCTCTGGTTAATCCTGATATCTACAAAGCTCTCTTGGCAACTGGCACACTGTCCTAGTGACCTTTAGATCTCAAGGCAAACAATCAAATATGGCTGGGGGTGGGGTCCTCAAATTTGAGGTTTAACAGTATATTTTACCAAAATGAGATCCAATGAGTCTTAAGTTTTACAAGTTCTCAATGGTTGAGAATTCCAGTTAGTGAAACTATCTGATTATTTACTGAGCAACTGTCTGTACAAGACTCTTTAGTCAGTACTGTGAGGAAAAGAAATAGTTTTGGAGGCAGATTTGGGCTTAATGTATTTAGAACCCAAGAGATGGCTTGTTTTGTTTTACTGTACTGCAAGCCATCTCTATATTCCCATCCCTAGTAGAGGAAGGGTAAAATAAATGTAAGAATTAGTCATGGAGTGTATTCTCAAGTTTTTCAACTCTTCCCCAAATAGTCCAATTATTTGAGGTTTAAGGTGAGTTGGTTGCCAGTTAATGGAAGTTGGGCTATATTGGCATGCTTTTCTTGTTTCATGGAGGGCTTGTTCAGAGCCTTGAACCAAATATTTGCAAAATGCTTTGAGATTCTCCAATTAAATGTGCCAGTTAGTATTATGATTGTTATTATTATTATTATGAGATGGATATATGTGATGTAAAATAGAAAAGAGTGAATTAATTATCCTTATAAAAGGAGCAAACTTAATTGGAATTTATAAGTTAAACAATTTAGAACTGTTCGAAATGAGAGCTACTGAGAGTGAGACCATACTTAAGATGAATGAGTTGGAATCATCACATTACTTTTCTAAGTCTTAATAAATGCATTATTCTTATGGATTAGAGGAAATGGGAAGAGAGTCAAAAGAGAATTAAAATGACGAGGGAGAAGCATATTCAGAAGGTTTACTAGAAAGAAGGGAGGGTAGAGAGAGGCAAAAAATTGGCTCCTCTAAGATCACCATTTTGGCCTTAGGGTGACCAACTTGCATTTATGCTTCTTTTCTCTTCTCAGACCTATGATTCTTGAAAACCAACTAACTAGGATATAGATGGAATTCTCTTTGGGTTCTTGCCTTACCTATAACTCCTTAAGAGGAAGAAAAGAATTCTGCAGAAATGTAGATTTCTCAAAACAATCAGGAAGTCTTGCATTTAAAAACAAAATTGAACTCCCTGTTTTCTCTTTTTGTTCCCTTTTTTGGGTGCTGTGAAAACTATTGGATGGCAGTGTGTGGAGAAAGGCAGACACTCAAGGCATGTGTGCTAGATAGACAATGGGTTGCCTGATGCCAAAATATCATGATGAAAATTACAACGGTCTTCAATTGAGCATCCAGATATTTGGTTACTATGAAGTCAAACATCCATTATAAGGATAGAACTGTGTGGTAATGGGTAGACAAAACATCTACATAATAGTTTAATATATTCACTTTTTTAAAAATTCTTTTATTGGTACATTTTAGGTATACAACACAATTACATTTCTCATTGGGAACTTGTACCTTTACATGATGCATCTTGGTTCTTATTTTTTCCCC